ACAAGCCCATGTACCTCTTCCTCTCCATGCTGGCTGTGAGTGAGCTGGGGGTGTCCCTCTCCACCCTGCCCCCGGTGCTGGGGGGCTTCCTCTTTGATGCCCAGGAGATTGGGCTTGACGCTTGCCTCAGCCAGATGTTCTTCATCCATTGCTTCTCCCTCATGGACTCTGGGGTTCTCTGGGCCATGGCCCTTGACCGCTTCATTGCCATCTACAACCCTCTGCAGTATGCCACCATCCTGACAAACAGCAGGATTGCCCTGATAGGCTCAGGCATTGCTGTGAAAAGCATTATTTTACTTGCCCCACTGCCCCTTCTCATGAGGAAGCTGCCATTTTGCAGGTCCAATGTGCTGGCTCACCCCTACTGCCTGCACCCCAACTTAATCCAGCTGCCGTGTTCAGACACCACCGTCAACAGCCTTTACGGTCTGTTTGTCTTGCTCTGCACTTTTGGACTGGATTCTCTCTTTATCATCTTGTCCTATACCATGATTCTTAAGACTGTCCTGAGCATCACCTCAAGAGAAGGACGCCTGAAGGCCCTCAACACCTGTGTCTCCCACATCTGTGCTGTGGTAGTTTATTACACCCCAATGATCGGGCTCTCCATGGTGTATAGATTTGGCAGGTATGCTTCCCCACTGGTGCACTCTCTCCTGGCCCACATCTATCTCCTGGTTCCTCCACTGCTGAACCCCATCATCTATAGCATCAAAACGAAAGAAATACTCAAGGCTTTGGGCAAACTTTTCTCTCCAAAGAACGTCTAAGAGGAAAGAGCAATGAGGACATCCAGCATTGTATGGCTGTTCTGTTGTAGCCACTCTCTCCCTGAATGCAGGAACAGAAGCTAAGCTTGATGGAAAGCCCTATATGGTCCACCATCTTGTTCCCCACAGAGCTTGAACAGATGCCTCCAGAAGTCCAGAAGGGACAGCCGACTGCAATTGCTCTTTTGCTGTTGGCCTCCTGAACTCTGGAACCGAGAGACAAAAGGGATCAGTTCTGCAGAATGTAGATTACGCGGACACTTCCTTACAGGGCAGGAGGGTCAAGGTTAGGCAATGAGGCCGTGAGCTAAACAGCTGGGGGCTGGGCCGTTGGGGTGGGGGGAGAAGGAGAGAATTAGAAGTAGGAAGGCAGCAAAGAGTTGGACAAGGGAGAGAGAAGGATGGGGGGGAGGGGGGGGGGG